TATTATAATGAATTCATCTTTCAGGCTTGTAAACTGAGAAGACATCTATTGATTTAGACTAATGCAATGCACTCTATGAACCACATCTAGAAAAATGACATTTTAAGATTAAAAAAGAACAGTTGAAGAATACATAGTTGAGTTATGTCTTTGTACCTTAGGAGAAAAAAAAAAGAAACATCAACCCAATGTAACTCTACTAGCTTTATTAAAAAAGGAAACAAATATTTGTTAGAATATCGGTGATTGTAATAAAAAGAATCACTGTAAAATTTTTATTGGACAGTTTTGGTTCAAGATTTCTTAAAGTTAACAATTAATCAGTATGAAAGTCGTATAGATTGTTACTTCTTATTAATTTCATAAACTGATCTAAATTAGATAACCGTAGTTCAACTGTGTCAGTTGTGAAGAAGATACGCATTGAAGATAATGAAAGTTAGTCACAAAATACTATGGAGTAACTGAAGCTAGATTTGTATACTACCGAACTCAGGATTACTAATTCATAGGTTAAGTGTTCATGAGTGAAACTTAAGGGGTTAGCTTCTATCACTGACGAGGTCGTGGAGGTGCACTATCGAAGAGTCTCATAATATAGCTGACTAGTCATTTGTTATTATCAGGTTTATTCAATAATATATTTTTAGTACAATATAGAATTCTCAGTACAAAGTATTTCAACAAGTTTGCATTTCTTACTTCTTGGTTTATTCTGACCAGCTAGAAATTAGCAGTCCAGAAATTGACATCTGAATAATCTACATTCATTTTGTTGCATATTGCGAACAACCACGATGTCTCTGATTGAGCGTTTTTACAACTTGTACAGCGTAGGGTTGTGAAGTTTTCATAAACCCATCTTAAAAGGTTATGCGATTAATAAACATAATGATCTGTTAAAACAAGCAAAAACAGATAACTTGTTGAAATATCTAGATGGCAGAAACAGGTAGCCTATAGGATCAAACAGGTCGTCGATTTCAGGTTCACATTAGTGTATAACTATTGGTCAGTTCATGTTCTCAATAAAATAATGAATTTTTTAATGCTTACTATTAACTCAATGTCCAACTCCTATGAATTTATCCATTCAGATTTTTCAGTAATTTGGTCAAACATTTCGACTATCTAATTTCCAATTGTATAAATAATGCAATTAAACTATCAATCTTCGATTTGTTTGAACAGAATCATTCTAAAATTTAAGTGTATGTGCACTCTGATTATTTTAAAGGTCCGATGAATTAATTTATTACTGGTAAATCTGAATGCAAGTAGTGATGACATTGTCATAGAAACGGTATGCAATTACATTAGAAATGATTAAGTATGATAAACAGAAAAATATATTTCCAAAATGTATACACGTAATAGTCAGATAGTTATTCGGAAATATTTATAAAGTATTTTTTGAATAATGACAATTTCAATACAATGTGGTGGTTGGAGGTAGTTGTCAGGAGATTCTGGACTTAGGTTTTGTGTTATTTGGAACTTTTCAAAACAGAAACAATAGGAATATGACAATTTGAGTAGGGAATTAAAATAAATACTAAAACATCATGAGGTTGATAATTTAATGAAAAGTTTTGTAACAGAAAATTATACTTACCACAAAGACTATAAGTTTCTGGGTTAAATTTTTGGCTAGGTCATGTGCATATACTGTTGAAAAGGTTTAGACATGGACAAAATTATTTTGACTGCTTCTTTGGGATGATGGAGAAGATTTGTAGTTCAGGTGAATGATTTTGATGGAGTTTTGTTCTCTGAGCTGAATGGTTTGGTCGTGGAGCTTTCATCATTCTTCTGAACGACATCATCAGCAAAAACGTCATGATAAAAATTATCTAAATATTTAGTTTATTTTCATAAATTACAGTAATTTTTTTTAGAAAAAATTGTTAGTATTAATTATGGGATAAATCTCATCTCATAACCATAATAATTCAAATGATACTTTCATCAAACTGTTTTCAAATGAAGTTGAGACATGATAGAGCGGTTCAATCTTTATTCACCAATTTTCATTCAAATAACCTTAAATATAAAGTTTAAACGTCCATATAACAAAAACTATACTTCATGTTAGTAATAATTACTATTTAGAAACATTATTGATCATTATTGTTTTTTATCAGAAGGGGTTTGCGGAGATTTTAGAAATTTCACTGATTGAAATCATGAGTCAATTGAAGCTAGACCACCATGGAAAACCTGGAAGCACTGGAAAGCCGTTTCGTCCTAGTATGGGACTACTCAGCAGTGAGCGTCCACGATCCCGCACCCCGCGGGGTTCGAACACAGGACCTATTGGTTTTGCGCGCGAGCACTTAACCATTAAACCACTGAGCCGGCATCCAATTGTGTTAATGTCTAAATTCAACCGATCCACGAGGTTGCGCCACCGTACACCATTGTCTTCAGTGAGTTCCTATCTCACAACAGACGTGGTTGAAATCCACTAGTAACGGCTTCTTACTAGAACTCTCGGAGTATCTCCTGAATTCAGTCACTAGTGAGCGGATGATTATTATGAGAAGGGGTTCGTGGATATTTTAGAAATTTCACAGATTGAAATCATGAGTCAGATCAGTAGGTCCTGGGTTCGAATCTCGCGGGGTGCGGGATCGTGGATGCGCACTGCTAAGGAGTCTCAGACTAGGACGAAACGGCCTTCCAGTGCTTCCAGGTTTCCCATGGTGGTCTAGCTTCAATTGACTCATGATTTCAATCAGTGAAATTTCTAAAATCTCCACGAACCCCTTCTGATAATAATCATCCGCTCACTAGTGACTGACTTCAGGCGATACTCCTGGAGTTCTAGTGAGAAGCTGTTACCGTTAGTAATATGTTTGTTAAGTAATTAGGAAGTTCTAGACAAAGTATTAGATTTAGAATAACACTGGCGTTCTAGATTGTTTTAGATAAAGTTTAATATCTAACATTTCAAACAGTTTATAACGTTTTTATTATACAAAGATCTTTCTATACTAACGTTCTTTTGATGCTAATTATTAAAGATAATTAATATAATAACAAGACTAATAACCATTATCGTATATAAACAGATACTGAAACAAGACTCTTAAATGATGTCATCATTGACAATGAATTCTTTGTCGGTGTTCTCTACTTTACATCATTGTAATAAATGTTTAATCACATTGTTTTATGAAGTCTGATCTTTCAAATAATATGGTTTAATTTATGTCTTTTTCAATGTTATATCCATTTTGTATCCACTTGTTGATGCCTGTGAATTGGTATCCATTCTGTAACTATATGTATATAAACTTAGAAGCGTAAAATGGGAACATGGAAAGGTGATAGAAATACAAGGTCATAATTGCTTTAGAACGACAGTTATCACATTTTGACTAAGGAATATATATTAAGCAGTCTCTGTGACAAAGTGATAGATTGATATTACACAAAACTGTGTATAAAGTATTCATTAAGGAACAATTATTACTATTTAAACATTTCACATGCCGAAAAATTATAAAAGCCATTTAATTTTTACAAGAAGACTGAGTTGATGAGTTTAGAACTAATAATAGTAATATATTATGACGATATCACCATATTATATTCAGATTGATAAATGTTTACTAACTACAGGTTACAACTTGTCATAAGAAAACTGAAACATCACCTTTGTGAAGATAATTAAATGTGGTAAGAGATAGAACTCATTCAGAGAAGAAAGCTTCACATCAATTTCATTTATTTATATTCCTATTTTTAGTCAATTTATTTATTCAACAAGGTGAGATTATAATTGATGGATGACCTTTGAGCGAAGCTAAAATAACCTTGAGAGTATCTATCTACTGACTAGAACCAAATGTGCATTATAAACTTGTATGAAGAATTTGAATTATGATTTGCCGTTGATGATTAAGGTTAGAAATTACATTGAGGGTTTTCATCACGGACTAATATCAGCTATAATGTTAAAACTCCATTTATCTAAATAAATGAATGTATGTCACATCAAAATCCTAGATCTGTTATCTTATACCCGATTGGTTCATCCATAGATTATAGTCTCGCCCTAAAAAGTAACAGTAATTTACAATAAAATAGAAGGATGTTGTATCATTAAAAAAAAATAATGATTAAAGACAATATTCAACGCTTCTTTGTTGTTGTTTTCTTTAATCAAAAGGTTACTATTTTAGTTGACAATTTAACTATAAATAGTATTGTACAGTATAACTTGTTAAACATTGTCGGAAACAAACTTTTTTTGTTCTCATTATTTTCTTCAATGGTACAATAGATCTCATTCATTACTTAGTATAGTATAGTGGCAATTCGATTCTTGTCACAAAATTCACATTAACATTTACAGCTAAAATGCTTTAAATGAAAACAGAAGAAACAGAACGAAAAAATTACTACAATCATAAAGGATTTATGGAGATTGTTAAGTCTCACAGTTAACAACACAGATTGATCTTAATTGAATAATTATGAAAAACTAAGAGGTACTGAATAGTTGTTTAGTACTTGTGGGAAACCGTGACTAATGAAGTCTAGCCAAGTAAAATTTGTAGCAATTATCAACCAAATGAGAGTTGACTGAAGTTGAACATGTAAACCATTTGGTGCTGAATCAATGGTCTGAAGGTTAGGCGTTCACGGGTGAAATCAACGGTTCTAGGTTCAATCTTTGATAATTCGTGCAGTTGTATTGTTGAAGAGTCCTGTATTGAGCTGAAGCAGTTATTCAGTGCTTTCTAGTATACATAGGTTGTTTAATCTATGGTGCAAACCACAGAAAATAATAACCATATACTGTCTCACCTCGCGCATACTCTTAATTATTTCTTAATATGTTGATTTAATAGCGGAGAAGAAGCCTCTTCAGTATACAATGGTTCTACAGCTTGACTACGGTTTTTTGTTAAGTATAAGTAGTTAGTAAATAATTAAAAGCTTAATATTTAAAAAAGAACTTTATATATTTCTCTTATTCTCATTATTAGTTATCTAATCAATTCAATGATATTTCACAACAATTACCTGGTCATAATCCTTTCTATGCATTTGAACAATCCAATTTAATAATTCCCAATCCACTTCATTCAAATCCTCATTCATCTCATCATCATATTCATCATCATCATCATGAACATCAACATTATGGTATGGATCAATCAACAGATCAACTACACAATTCTAATAATGATAATATAATTCCTAATGAAATTTCAACTAATACAATTCCTCATGGTGATTATGCATTAACACAACAACAAAAAAATGAATTATATTCATCAATATTTTCAGAATCGAATTATTTTCTATCAAATACCACGGTAAATACTTTATCAAATGTACAATATTCTAATTCAAAATGTATTCAACAGCATATACCTGAATCATATCAATCAGTGATATGGTTAAATCAAGAACATTCACAAATACAATTACAAGAACATTTACATTATACATCGAATGGAATAATTACAACACATAATCATAATCATAATTACCCATTAATAATTAATAATGAGAATAATGAGAACATGAATAAAAATTGTAATGAATTATCAAATATTAAAGTAAATAATACAGAAATGGATAGTGTTTTACCTGTTCCAATCGAGACTGTGTCAACCACCATGACTGATGGTAAAAATATTCATGTTCAAGACAATGATAATGATGTTATCATGATGCGACCATTAGTTGAACAGTCAAATCATTTTGAAACATCTGAACATTTATCTGGGAATACTGTGATATCAAATGATTTAATTGATAATATCTATTGTAATAATAATAATAATAATGAGACTACTGTTACTGCTGCCAATAATAATAATCATCATCATTATGATACAAATATAATTCCATTACAAATTTATCCTACAATATTTCAACCAAATTATTCACCGGCTACATCATCATCATTATCTTCATCGTCGTCCTCTTGTTCATCTTCTTCATTTTCATCATTATCATCATTGTCATCTTCAATGGTTTTATGCACAGAAACATTAACAATAACTCCAGCAACAGCAAAATCATCATTAGTAACAACAACCACAACAAACATTTCACCTTCATCTTCATATTATACAAATCAAGATTATAAATTGACTGGTTTGAATTTTCATCAACAACATTTAAAATCGAACAATCATACTGATTGTAATAATACTATGGTTACTAATAATGTTAATAGTAATAATAATAATAGCAATAATCATTCTAATGAAAAAAAGTGTAAAGTTTGCGGTGATCGAGCTGTAAATCATAATTTTGGTCAATTAACTTGTGAATCATGTAAAGCATTTTTTAGACGTAATGCCCACAAAGTAAGTTAATTATTAATATAGAAATATAATACTGGTTATGTATTATTTTAATTGAATCAAGTATTTGTGTTTTATAGTCTAATTCATGAGTCAATTAAAGCTAGACTGCCATGAAAAATCTGAACGTACTGGATGGCTGTTTCGTCCTAATGTGAAACTCCTCAGCAGTGCGCATCCACGATCCCGCACCCCGCTGGATTCGAACCCGGAACTTATCGATCTAGCATGCGAACGCTTAGCTCCTAGACCACTGTTTTGTTTTTTGAGGTCAACATTTTAAAAAATTGTACTTATATCGATATTATCCTAGGTATATTGCCTAATGGTAAAGATATAAATCGATTTCAGACTATATTATTGTTCAAATGAAAACATGTTGTACTAAGCCATTGATACAAAGAAATGTATGTCAATCCTCAAAAGTTAATTATTTGTTGAACAATAATCCATTAATCAAGTCTATTTACTACAGATTGATAACTTCACTGAATTCAAATATTGTAATTAATTCTTTTCTATAGACTAGATAAATCATGGTAATATATATAATCGGTTTGCCTATCTGGTTGAATTTATACAGTTGAAAGCTATAAAAAGATATCATAACATTCATTATTTTTTCCGTTTGATATAACAAATAGTAAATATTATCATGTAGCAGATGAATACAATATCAAGTTCAATGAGACTATAATTTATGAACGACCTTTGAGTGACGCTAGACCGACCTCGAGCGTGTCCATTTGATAGCTAGGACCAAATGAGGATTATAAACTTGTGTGAGGAATTCGAATTATGATTTACAGTTGATGATTAAGGTTAGAAATTATATTGAGGGTTTTCATCACGGACTGATATCAGCTATAATGCCAAAACTCTGTTTAACCAAATGGATGAATGCATGTTACACCAAAATCCTAGATCTGTTATCTTATACCTGATTGGTTTGTCCATCAATTATGGTCTCACCTCAAGTACTGGTAACTTTTCTTAATATCTCTCAATGTAACAATGATATGACGGCGTAGATAGAAAAAAATCGTTTTTTCCTTTAAATTCACAATGAAACTAACAATTCCAAAATATGTAATAAATTGTTATTTATTATCTCAGTCGTTTTGTTTTATGGCACCTACTTACCTACTTACGCCTGTTGCTCTCAATGGAGTATAGGCCGCCGACCACCATTTATGGTAGATATTAAATAAATATATTCATAAAAAAATTGGTAGAAATTTGTTGCAGCACTCCTACTTATGAATCGTATAGTATTAGTGTATACATATATATGTAATTTGTAGACTTGTTGGCGCTTATCGAACAAGCTTTTTATCAATAAATGCAATGAAGACGAGATCAAACTGAATTCCTTATCGAGGTTTTACACACTAGAATAGATGACATTGCTTTAATAAATTATCTGTTTAACACGGTAACTAATCATATTACGTTTAGTGTATTATAACGCATATAATGATTAGTATTAGATTGTTCCTATTTTCTAAATAAATTATTTGAGTATTGCTTTAGACTGACAAATATGAAATATATAATTTTCAACTCAATGGTTTAAAACAGGTAAAATCGGTATTGACAAACTTAAAGTTTGAGGATTCAAAATCTAATATTTTGAGCAATGATGGATGATGGCTAGTATTGAAGTTCAAGACGTACGTTTTATCTAATTCAGAACTCGTCAGTTGAATTATACCTATATCTTAGAGTTGATGTATACTCCGGGACACGAACCTGATACCGTTCACTTTAAACGCCACCACATTTTGTTTTTCTTAAGGAACTGGTTATAATTCTAATTGTTACATAAATATATAATCATTTGATGTACAATTTATATGTAAACACAATAATCCCGTGTACAATTTGTTATTGTCTTGTAAGAGTTTATTTTACAGAGAGAAAAAAATCAAATTTTTTTTTTACTGACATTTCTAATATTTTTGGCATTTCTTTATTCGAAACTTTTGTGTTAATCTATCATTAGATGATCAACAAAGTGAATAGAGATTATATATATATATATATATGTATGTATATATGTATATAGTTAGTTTCTATTGTATGTATGCATTGTTACAACATTAGTCTATATTTTTTCCGTTAGCTGAATCAATACATTTGACAATTTTCAGTAATCATTTCTATTGTAAATCAAAATATTTACGAACATTTATTGGTTTATAATGAAATCATAGTAGTACTCATGGTTACTTACTTACACCTGTTACTCTCAATGGAGCACAGGCTGCCAACAGTAAATAGTTTGAATAATTTTTTTTCTGGTTAGTGTTCTTTTAGCGAGTTAGTAGGGTCATTAACCCCATGTCCAACCCTCCTCCTTTATCCGGACTTTGGACCGGCAGTAGCCACAGATGGGCTCCAGGCGGAGTTAGTACTCATGGTTACAACTGTAAAATATGAAGAATGAGATGAAAATTTCATTGAATTTGTATAGTTTGTTGTAATTTGAGTAAGACAACAACTGAATCATTCTTGTGAAATCATTTGTCAATTTATTCCTAGTGTTTTAAAACAATAGCATCAGTATAGTAAAAGAATTGATTAGAATAAGTTGTTTATATCAAGGTAACGTAAACTTTAAATGAAGAGATATGTCAGCGGATAAACATGGTGTACATAAAAGCAGTTAAGTTGTTTGACGTGTTTCATATGATGAAATCTCGCTGTTTATTGATAAACTATTCGATTGAAGGTAGAGAAGTCATTTTGTACAAAAACTAGAATTAACTCAGTGGTAGATATGATATCCATTTAAAAAATTATTAATATGTAGAATAGTATACATTTCTTGACTATAGTCTGTGAAATGTTAAGCATCAGTTTAATATTTAACCTTTAATCCTTTCTTGTTGTTTTTTTCATATTGATTAACACTTTACTTATGTATTCAATACAGTTTAAACTTTGACTTATAGTTTGTTATCTGTTACGTAATATGGAAATCTTATTGAATATAATTCGATTTGGAATTCTGAATGTATAAATATTTCAGTCTACTTATTTGTCCATTTATCTTTTATGTAAATAACAATATTTCAATAGTTGAGATCATGAGTCAATTGAAGCTAGACCAGTGCTTCCAGGTTTTCCATGGTGGTCAATCTTATATTCATGTTGTATACACTTGATGATGCCTGTGAATTGGTATGCATTCTGTAACTATATATATATAAACTGAGAAGCATAAAATGGAAGCATGGAAGAGTCTTTAATAACTAGAGTAAATACTTTAGTAAGGTGATGGAAATACAAGGTCATAATCGCTTTAGAACGACAGTTATCACATTCTGACTAAGGCTTATCTATGTAAAGTACTCAGTAACAATAATTTATGATTTCAGATTTCTATAAGTCAGTTATAAATATATAAAAGAGATTGGGATAAAGTATTACAAAAATAACTTTTAATGATTAATATCATAAAGATGTTTGTTCTAGAATTTTGTTTGTTTGTTTAAATTTCTATTCTTGTGTTTATAAATTACATCTTACTGATATGTATACGTATCGTCAATCTATAGTAATATAAACTGGACAACTAAACTGTAAATTATACAGTCAATCGATAAATAAAGTGATAATCTAAAGTTTACATTTGGATTATCACTTTATACATATATGTATATATATCGTTTCTCAATTTTCCAGTTTTGCTACTACCCTTATTTACACAATCTCCCCTCACCCCCCCCCCAATCTACATGCACACACAGTTACAACAAGCACTTAGATATAAATATTCTTTCTGTATAAAACGAGGTGATGGATTTGTATCACATAAACAAATAAATATAATTTAAGTAAAAATTGTTATATTTGGTCTGTTAATTTTCAAAAAAAAAACGATAACTACTAAGAATCATGTATATATATATATATGTATGTGTATCTTGGGTAATAATGAATATGATTTGTATGAGTGATTTTGGCGAAGAAACATTATGGTTAATAATGGATAATATAGGACCCTAGTGAAGATATACATTAGTTTAAGTTGTTCCCCTAAACTATTAGAACAATGGGAGAAACAAGATAATACAAATACTACTGTAGTGAAGGAGAATACAGGTGAGGACAACTGAATGTATTTGAGCACAAAATTCACAGAAAATCTCAGTAAAATCTGAGAATTATACAGTAAATAGTTTATTTGAAAAATATCAGTCAGTCGTCTCAGATTTCATTGTTTATGCATTTTCATACGGATTGCTTTCTGTTTCCGTTCTTTCCTTCTCGATCTTCTATTAAAATAAATTCTATTCTTGACCATGGTTATATACTACTTATGTGGTTGTAAGTAGCTCATATCACACTATTATTAGTAACAAGTTAAAATTTAAATACAGAATCTATAATTGAATAGGACAAATAAAACTAAAAGATTAATTTATTTTATAACCCAATAACCACGTAGTCAATTTATGGTCTCATTTTTTAATGTGATGAACAATGATACTAGCCACCTTGTTGATTAATCTAACAGAGATTCAAAGAGTCTATACATGTAATCTGATAGTTGAAATGTAACTGTCTCAACCACTAAGCTATCAATAATGGGTTTGGGTTTATTTCTTGAAATTTACTATTTCAAAGTTGTGAATTCTCAGATATTGAAATTCTGTATGCTATTTTATTTTATTCATTCGTTTACAATGTCTAATCAGTTTCTATAACATTGATTACCCCTATTTTTCCATATGATACTGTTTAGAGATGAAAATAGACTGTTATTTTGTTTCTAAAACTGTTGTGTAACGCGAATTCGTCTAGTGATGTCCCGAACAGTATATGTTGACGAAGAAGGTATGAAGAACCTTTAACGTAGGTAATCTTATGATGGAAATTCCTTGTGGACTCTTAGCGTCTACTCAATGAAAGAATAATTTACTCGAGTTTACCTCTTCACTGTGTATAAATAATTTCACTTGCTCCTGAGATGTTATTTATATTGGCCATATTAC